AAAACTATTAAGCTATAATTTACAAAAGCATCGCAGAACGCTAAAGTGGTACGTACTCCTAATACCCAAATATTCCTAAAATATATAAATATTTCCTCATAGCGGTGTGTCGCTGTCGACATCGCCGCGGTACACCACGCAACCCAACGATTGCAAGTTATTTCGAATTATAAGCACATTATACATCGAACTTTTATCATGTAATTCCCCTGTTGATAGCAGGATCAGAATCATCTTATTCCCAATCCCCAATTTTCAATCCTTCAGAATTTTTTTATTTTTTTCGAGAATCAGGAGCCTCTGAAACGTCTAGAAACAAAGTTTGGCGATTTTTGTAATTTTTCATTTCTCGCCACTGTGCCGATTTTCAAAAATTATGAGCTTTTACGTCCTTAGTATAGTAGTAGCAAAGATTTCATAGAAATCCGAACGGTATTTCTCCAGTTATAGGTTATAAGATTGGCTCTCAGAAAGACAAACAGCCCGACGGAAATGAGTGACGTGGTTTTTCGTGATGTACATGTCATATAACATTTAAAAAACATACTATCTCAGTTTAGAATACTTTCGCGACTAAAATACTTCCCCGTTAATACTCGTGGGAATTAAGAACAATCCGTTTGGGCCAAGTCATGTATTATTAAATTCACCCCATACTTGGCCTATATCGGTAGATTCCTATGCAGATCGCAAATGCACTAAAACATGGCAGATGCACGATTTCCATAAATACATTTAATCTACTATGCTACTTATGCTCTTTTTTACATCACACGCAAAAAACAGCATTTATATCGAGATATCGCTTCGACATTTTAATTGATGAAATCGATCGTATATTTCCCATTTCGTTATATTAGTGACGATAGGAATATTTTTTTCGCATATTTTTTCAATTTATCCAAACCTTAGAGATTTTTTCGAGAGATCCCGTAGTGAACCGGAGCGGGAACAGATGGAATTTCCCCTTCCTCTCGAAGTTTTGACAGTTTCAAGTTCAACCGGGAGTGGTTAGATGGCACATGTTGTGCAAAATGTTTGCTTTAAGCTCCTTGCTAAACTTAGCTGCCTTGTTTGAATCTGAAATAACAAGACTGATCGTTTTTTGTGCAATGTACTTATATATCATTGAAATCAATCATTTGATATGAAAAGTGCGGTTCATATATCTTCGATGACCTTCTCCCTCGTCATTTAAAGGTGGAGGTGTTGCTCAATTTATGATTTAATAATTTAACTCAATTTTCAGCATTGCGAAGACAAATTTTCAATTGGGATGCCTGTTTTTAGATGCCATTGACATAAGAACTGTCACCCGCTAGTACCTCACAGACGAGGTATAAATCAAATTCAAGCGGATAACCAAATGGAAATGGTATTTACCATCTTGGGTTGGTATTTACCAATCCGTTCAAGCGAGTGTAGTTATCAGTTTGGTTATAAGATCCAACTCAAGAGTAGTTTTATATTTCTGGTTATTATTTGACATGTGACAAGTTAGAATTTTGCCGGGTATTGTATATTGTTATTCTACTTCAGCTTCATTTTTGAGAAAAATGATACAGGCTGACTTCAGTTTTACAATAAAGTGAAGCACCTTATTAGTTATACTCATTACGGTTGTTGGGGACACTTTAAATGTAGTTCCAATGCTTAACAAAGTATCCTGTGTAGCCATATACCACAAGAATATTAAAATATGGCCATATAAACTCACTAGATGATATTCACGTGTTTACGGTTTTGCTAATTTCTTTTTTCATCATTTCTGCTGAATCAATAAATGTTTTCTTTGACATGCGGAAAAATTTAGAGAATTGAAAGTTATCATAGCTACAAAGCCATGGTTCCATCTTTGAAAAAAAAATCTTAAAAAAACATTTCTCCCATTAATATTATGAAAGGTTTCTTATTTAAACTTTCCATATACAGTTGTAGACGAAAAAGCACCGATTATTAAGTGATAATAAAAATAATCAGAGATTATATACGCGCTGTTCTAAAATAAACAACTTGCAACAAAACCGCGGTTAAAACCAACGCGTTCAAGCGATTCGTGTAACTGACGTGATCAACCCGTGTGTCATCTTGAACCATATTATAACCGCGGCACATAACACAGAAATTTTGGTTATTCGCTTGGATTTGATTATATTCTTTAATTCACCGGTTGATTCCATCACTGATGGATCCGGTAAACTCATGGTTGACAGCTGATGTGATGACGTCAGCAACCGGTTCCGTTGAATGGTCGTTAATAAAAATACGCATTTTTAGCCTTCAGGTTGCTGTCATATGAGAAAACCTAATCTTTGTTTTATCATAAATGGATACTTGTTAATTTGAACACCGTATCATTTAAAATCATTATGGAAATATACGCAGCAGTTGGTATTGTCGTGGAACGTTTGTTAAGCGATTCGAGTGATGATTCTGATGAAGAAGTTATCCAGAAAACCAAGAAATTTTCAGATATCGACGATCTCAAATCAATACGAGACATTGATTTGAGATCGTCGATGCTTCCCGTATAAGAACCATCGATATGGATTTTCTGAGAGCATTCCTGTATTCATACAGGAGTAAAAACAGAACAAAATCAGAAAATCGACATTTTCGGACTTACGAGGTATTCATTTGAGATATGCATAATTCAAAACAAATTAACTTGCTTTCAGATGCTCTGTTTATTTCAAATTGTGTTGAAAAAAAAACATTAAATTTCACGCGAGTCCTATGCTGCTAACGTCGATCTTTTCTTCTTCCATTTTTTCACACAAAACTGTAGTTGTCAAAAACTGATAAAATGTAGAGGTTAGAATATCGTGGATCAACCGAGCCCGAACGTCGGTGGATGCTGTCGGCACAGGTGGCATATCCACCATCAATATAAATCAAATCCAAGCGAATAACCAAAATTTCTGTGTTATGTGCCGCGGTTATAATATCGTTCAAGATGACACACGGGTTGATGACGTCAGTTACACGAATCGCTTGAACGCGTTGGTTTTAACCGCGGTTTTGTTGCAAGTTGTTTATTTTAGAAAAGTGCGTATATATTCTCTGATTATTTTTATTATCACTTAATAATCGGTGCTTTTTCGTCTACAACTGTGTATGGAAAGTTTAAATAAGAAACCTTTCACAATATTCATGGGAGAAATGTTTTTTTCAGATTTTTTTTAATGATGGAACCATGGCTTTGTAGCTATGATAACTTTCAATTCTCTGAATTTTTCCGCATGTCAAAGAAAACACTTATTGATTCAGCAGAAATGATGACAAAAGAAATTAGCAAAACCGTATACAGGTAGATATCATCTAGTGAGTTTATAAGGCCATATTTGAATATTCTTGTGGTATATGGCTACACAGGATACTTTGCTAAGCATAGGAACTACATTTAAAGTGTCCCCAACAACCGTAATGAGTATAACTAATAAGGTGCTCCACTTTATGGTAAAACTGAAGTCAGCCTGTATCAATTTTCTCAAAAATGAAGCTGAAGTACAATAAAAATATCTAATACCCGGCAAATTTCTAACTTGTCACATTTCAAATAATAACCAGAAATATAAAACTACTCTTGAGTTGGGTAAATACCACAATTTTGCGGTGATAACTATGACATATAACAGCTGATTCGTGACGTCACGGATCTTATAACCAAACTGATAACTACACTCCCTTGAACGGATCGGTAAATACCAACCCAAAATGGTAAATACCATTTCCATTTGGTTATCCGCTTGAATTTGATTGTAGAGACAAGTTTGATGTACAACCGGTCGTTCCAGCGGAAATTAAAGGACGCAAACTTGGCTAACCGGTTGCACCGGTAGCTCAACCGGTGAATTAAAGAATATACCTACGTTAGGCGGGTACCGCACCACGTGATTTTCTGACATTCGGACGAACGTCACATCCGTCTTCCCCTATACCCGTTCTTAGCGACAATTTGAGTATCGGTTCCCGGTAGTGCACTGTGCTACACCGTGGACTGGCGAAAAAATCCTTCTTGTATACTACAGCTGTTTGTCAAGCACTACTCTTACCTTTATTTAGCCGAAGTCCATATGATGTATCATGGTTTAAGCGATCACCTGCAAACATGAAATAAGGAATAAGTGTTCAATGACCTGTTGGATATACGGTATACGTCATAATCCTAATTTTGCGTTTCCATCCTCTTACAATCCTGGTCACAATACTTCGTATTTTTTGGTACCTATGCAATAAAATGAAAAACGTATCGGTACTCTAGATCACATCTATGGATCTATGATTCGTAAGCTCAAACACTTCAACGTATGAAGACTATCAACTGAAAAACAATTTCACTAATGCACAAAGAGAAAATATTAATCAATTCCAAATGCGGATTCCCTGTTTTGCATATTACGAGTATTTCGATATAACAACATTACTATGCGAAAAACGAATCACCTAACAAAAATCGATAAAACCAAAGACCCTACGTGCTTACTTACATTTTTCAATTTCTGGTGAATTTCATCACTGCCTTATCCTATACCATAGCGCACTATGATCACTAAAACTTATTCAACAATTTACACAAATTCAGCTCATTTATTAATCACAATAGATATTGCGGGCGGGGTTGATTTTTTTCTCGAAATCACATCGCGATTGAGAAGGGGATGAAACTTGGATGAAGCGTAGTGGAGCGCCCTCTTGGTGGAGATGAGTAAACTACAACTTGGAGGGAGTAGAAGCGAAAATGGGGGTATTGATTTTGTTGTTTGAGGACACTGGAGGAAGGGTACGTGATCGAATGACGAATAAGGAAAGCGATAGGAGCTTGAGATATTCTTTTGCAGTCGAAAATGATGTCATGTAGATTGGTTTTATATGTACTCGAGGAGAGGCAGGCTAGCGCAAACAAAATCCAGTATAAGAGGACACAAGAAAATTAATAATTATGGCAGACGCGAAACATTTTCAATTGATGACGTTTTGATTGATTTTGATGATTGAAGCTGTACAGCCGTTTGGTTCGCGGACCATAACGTGCATGAATCACAGTTCAAGGGTAAAGAATCAAAGGGCAAAGGGAAGTATCAAAGGTCAATCCATGCTTATGGCAAACCTCAAGGCTCAAAGGTGAAGTGTCAAATGTCATTGGGTGAAAGGTCAATGATCGATCAAGGTTTACAGCCAAAGGTCACAGGTTAAATGTCCTAGAGTTCGTGAAGATCAAAGGACAAATGCCAAGGATCAAAGGAATCGGACGTTAAAATACTTAAAGGTTAAATGTCTCAAAGGTTAAAGGGTAAACTCCAAAGCTCAATAAAATGCCAAAGGTGTTAAAGGAATCAAAGGGCAGAGGTATCAAAACTCAAAATATTAATGTCAAAAGTTGAAGATTCAAGGTCAGGTGTTGAAGGCCATATGTCAGGTTTTGAAGGTCAAGCTTCAGGTGTTGAAGTTTAAAAAGTAAAGGTCAAATGTCAAAAGTAAAAGGAGGATGATCAATGGTCAATGCGTTAAAAATTCAGCGGTTAAGGGTCAAAATGCAATAACAAAAGGTCGAAAGGAAAAGGTCAGTAATTAAAGATCAAGTGCGAAAGACTAAAGCTCTAAATCCAAAGCTCAAATGAGAACCAAATTTATCTGACGGCTTGCGTTCAATGTGTACGAGAGAGACGTATGAATAGATACATATAAGTTAGAAAGAGATCGAAGCCGCCTGGATAGCGAAACTTATCACCGCGTTGTCACGGGTATTGCGTATCTTGAAAAGTGACATTTTGTCTTTTTTTTACATTTCGTAGTTTTTTTGTGACATAACGTAGGTTTTTCTACAAGATGTTAACTTAGCATTAAGCTGTTGTACACTTGTTGTGAACTCGTCAGCGAACCGCAATCATAGCGAGCAAACGTTGAATGAACTATTTGCACACTAAAAACTACCTAATCAGCAAGATGACATTTCGTGTTTTTTGCGTTTTTTACATAATACCCATGCGGATTGGATCTAAGGGCGCTCTATTTTAGGTCGAAATGAAAGGTCATGATCGCCACAGATTCTGCAACATTTGATAACACCGCACCATGTACATTCCAAGGCAAGGTTTCCATCTCCATGATCATAGTTGAGCGATTTTGGTCAGTACCCATCTAGCGCTCATTGGGGGTGTGTCGTCCTACTTCGAAATGGTTTTCACCTGCGTACACGCAGGTAGTCATAATTTGCATTGCGTGTTGGTATTTGTTACATTTTGCGACTGCTCGCTGTTGGGAAATGTAACAATAACTCAGGATGTGTTGATAAAACATAAAAAGAATGCTAAGATAAATTAAAACATCAAGTCGCATTTAAATTGAAATAAATAAGTACTTCTCATCAAAATGAAAATAAAATGTTAAATTAGATGATCGAGCAGACCTCCTTCTTTTGTTTGACAGTAACCTAACCTATTGTAGCAGCCTGTGCGAACATTTTCTGGAGTAACATGTTGGCGACGCGGCAGATTGCACGACTTTCTGCGTCACCGATGCTATAGGCAATGTGGAGATGACCTTCGCTCTTCAGCCGGCTTCTATCTATTTCCAACATGAGTTGATACACACTTCTCGCGCTTCTCTCTCGTATACATTGATCTCGAGCCTTCGAACGAATTAGGTTTTTCCTGTATGTTCGAAGGATGTGTCAAATGCCAGTGTTAATAGTTAATAGACAAAAGTCAGAGTAGTTAATAATAAAATGGTCAATATTAGTCGAAGGTTGTAAGCAGTAAACAAATAATGTGACAGCAACAAATGCAAACTGTCAATCAGAAAGCTACCCTTATTCCCAATTTTTCTGTCCTGATCCGAGGGAACCGAAGAGATGCAACTGTCACCCTAAATTTCATAAACTGTGCGGTCTCTTCGCGTGTAGCACTTGGACCTTTTTCACAGTTTTTGTTTTTGATGTATAATGGATATATTATTTCAAAAAAACGTAGCTGTGGATTGAATATTGTACTGTAGTGTACAAAAACGGACATATTTTGATTTGGGACTGTACATATTAGAGATGACCGATATATCGGTACCGGCGACCTTTCCCGGTGACTTGAATGGTCGCCGTTACTCCCGGCGACCTGATTCTTTATAAAGCAGTAACCCAGATCGCTGTTTGGAAGTATCGGTATCGGTAACCACTGATCGGTAGCTGTAACGCTGTTTCGGTCACGGTCGCTGCCAGGAAGCATATAATATACACATCGCGTTCGCGATAATCGCGCGAGAAGTACAGGGTCGCTACAGCGTAGCCTAACCTATTTTGTTAGTTTTTATTGTAATTGTTATGAGTTCCTGTTCCATAGAAAATTTTTTCGTTTATTAAGCAATGTTTAACATATAAAAGAAGCATTTTTATACTACATTTGTTATGTTTTAAAAGTTTTATTTTGACTGGTAAAATAGTATTTTGTTTTACTTTTTAAGATTCATAGAAAGATATTTTATGTATTTTTATGATGTTATGTGTTTTGTGCTCAATATTGTTAAAAACAAAAACCTTAAATATAGTTTAATTCAAATCTTCAGGAACCTGAACATCTACACCTCGTTAATATCAATGCATAACCGCCGCCAAATATCGAGTAATTTAATCAGCGCCAGGGAGTCGCTGGCTGCTGGCAGCGACCATAGATAAGCAGTGACCTAAAGCGCTGCTAAATCTACCGGCGACTTTAAGGTCGCTGTCACCGGTATCCCGCAAGTCGCTGCTAGGATCATCTCTAGTACATATGTGTCAAAAAGAGAAACCAACCTGTGCAATACACTAAAGAAACAAATACTTTTACTCCAAAAGTATACAAAACCTACGATGCTATTATTAAGCTTAGCAATTATTATAAAATTTACGGGACGTTTTGAGCAGATTCACGACTTTTCCTCTTCTTTGTGTTGAATTCAATTACATAATAAGACTCATTGTGTCGATGACGGTTGTACCACACCTCTAATAGTCTATCCTTGTTTAACTACAGCCGAACTATTTACCACTATCTCGTTTCAACAGTTGATTTTGACGTTTTACATTGACGTTCGAGTTGGACGAAAAGTGGCGAATTCCCAAAAATAGAAAATACAAAAAATTGTGGGGCATTTTTCATCAAACTTTGATTCGTTTAGGAATCCAGAAAAGCTTGAAGAATGCAGGGTCTGTCACTGAAGTCACTGCAAAAGCACAAAGCTGTAAGTTTACGTTGCTTTTTCATAATTTTGCATAACCGTAATCATTTATGTAAGAGCTAATAATTTTTATTGTATTTTTATAGTTGCTGCCCCTATATTTCTGCGTTGGATTGGGATGTGGAGGTGCCATCTTCTACACCCTGCGACTAGCCACCAGGAACCCTGATGTACAATGGAACAGGGCTTCTGGAGAAATTTCCAATGAAGAGTTCAGGACGAAGCAATACAAGGTTTGATAACCACAAATTTACTGGGAATATTTTATAATACATTTGGTATATTTTCAGTTCTACTCCCCGAACGTGGACTACTCTAAACTGCAAAGCCCTGCCCCTAAATATTGAGGTGATAAACTATATGATAGGTAGTCACTAATGTATAGAACATTCTGTGTTATAGTATCAATAATTTAATAAACTGTATGAAAACTTGCGCGTATTCTTATTTTAAAACTTCCTTTATCATTCTACATGGGGATTCTAGGTACAGAACTGGCTTTAGAGAAAACATTTTCAAATACCAACATCTATAGCTGTACTTTGGACTCTTATTCACTATAAAAACAGAAAATAGCCAATAACAGTTTCATTAACGAAAAACGTTTAAAACAGAAAAAAGGTTCCAGCTGTTGAGGAGTTCCACAAGGTACAGTGCTAAAGCTATTGGGGTCAATATGGCCTCACATTGGGAAGATTTTTATTCACAACATCTACCTCCAAGCGATTTTGAGGACAATCGGACGTTACTAAAAGAATTTTGTGAGAGACACAACAATTCTGGGGAGAGAATAGCCCTAATCACTGTAAGTATGCCCCTTTAGAAAAATTGAGGTTATGTATGATCGTTTAATTTGCCTCATAATCTTTTTATTGAACGACTAGGGCTATTTCTTACATACTACGGTTCATATTAGAGCCATTCTTCACCAAAAACAACATTTAGTAATCCCTACCATAGTCTACTTTGAATGGCTCATTTTCATTTATTGAAGTACTCAAAAATGCTTATATGGAACTCTGTGACTGATTCTTTGGATAATTTATGGTTATATAAGTACTTATTTCCGGAATTTTCAGTCGGGAGGTACAACAGTGCCTTTGGAACATAACACAGTGAGGTTCGTAGACAATTTTAGTGCAGGCCTTAGAGGTGCTGCATCTGCAGAATATTTCCTTGACCATGGTTATGTCGTGATATTTATGTTTCGATTAAAATCATTAGAACCATTTACTAGACATTTCAGTGGGCAAAAGTTCATGGACATGCTGGAACTAAATGATAGAGGACCAAATACCACAATAACTGGTAAAAACTCACAGTTTTGCCATAAATAGATACATCTTGACTGTATTAAATTTGGATTTTAGTGAAACCAGATAGTGTAGATATTCTAGCACCAATCCTAGCAAGATATAAGGTAGCTCAAGAGGGTGGAAGAATATTGTACATAAATTTTACAACTGTCCAAGATTATTTCTGGTTATTGAGAGCTGCATGTGAATGTCTGGCACCTTGTGGATCAAAGGCACTCCTTTATTTGGCAGCAGCAGTGTCAGATTTTTACATACCTTCAAATGAAATGGTATGTATACCAAGAACTGGACAAAAGTCACCCTAAGAAAAACACCTAATTAAAAATCTCCAACTTCAGTTGTAGATATTTTCTCAGATGTGCCCCAAGGATTGCTCTTAGGGCCATTACCATTCTTTACCTAAATTTTTTAAATCAACGTGTTTTTTACTATTTTCCAGCCAACACACAAGATTCAGTCTGATGGTGGACCTCCAATCATAAATTTACAATTGGTACCCAAACTCCTAGCGCCTTTGGTAAATCTTTGGGTTCCTCAAGCATATGTTGTTTCTTTCAAGCTAGAAACAGATGAAAATCTACTGGTTTCTAAAGCTAGGGATGCACTGAAGAAGTATAAACACAAGGTAAGTTTTTTCTAGCTTCCTGCCCCCCCTCCTGGACAAATTTATTTCATTATAGAGGCATTCGCTCTCAGGACTGGTGCAGCCTAGCTGCTGCCACCCTGCTCTTGCTTTTATAGTACTTTTAATGTTCTTGTTGAGAAATGTGTGCTTTTTCATCCTTATGCTGTTGGGCCCATAACCTACCTACTGTATAAATAAATGAGTTCTCTAGAAATAACGTGTGGTGTAGTGTTCTTTACTTGAAAATACTCATTTCTGTATAAAAAACAATATATGTTTTTTGCAGCTGGTAATTGCAAATTTACTCCAGACTAGGAGGCACAAAGTGACATTTGTGACAATAGATGATAGTTTTGAGATATCTCTGACTAGAGATCAAACGTTAAGTGGTATTGAAATTGAAGATATAATCGTTTCCAATGTGGTTTTGCATCATACGGATTTTATTCACTGTGATCAGTATTGATACATACATTTCCATGATTTAGCAAATGGCGTGCGTGCAGTTACAGTCAACAGGTATATCAGCCGCTTAGCAGAAGGTAACTGATCATCTTCTCTAAACATTTGACTATAACTGAAAGCATGCGTTTATTTTATTAAAAATAATATATAGATAATCATTTCTATCAGGGTAATATAGGTATTCTGCCAATAGATAGTATGGTCCTTGTATGTTCCATTCGAGTCTCTCTACTTTTTTATCGTATATTCTTTTTTCATTTTTTTAGAAAAGCGCTGACAGAAAATAGTGAATAAATATATTTTATTGTTGACACTATATTCCGACGTCCAAAAAAGTGCATAGGTATTTTGGTTCCGCCACTGTTTCATAGATGGCGTTAGCTATAACTTGACTTGATTTTTTTGAGAGGATCCCAAATTTACTCAATTGTGCACTGAAATACTTCCGTGGCATATTGCAAATTACATACAAGGACTTGGATAGATATGGAATTTTAATGTATATGAACATGATTGATGTTATATGTTAAAATGTAGATTATGTATCATGTTATATAGTTTGATGTAATCCGAATTTTATTTCCAATTATTCACTTATAGTATCTAATACATAATTATATACCTGTATTTAAAGATGTTTGATGTGAACGAATATTTTTGAGCGTGCAAGGATTATTATATAATGTATATCATGAAATGTGCATTTATGTAGTTTAAGGCTAATGTGTAAATTTATATTATATAGTAATGTTATAGAAAGAAGACTCTCCCGGGGTTATATATACATGTATGTTCCCGATTCTCTAAAATTCCAAAACATATCTGATGGTCTATCCAATATTTTTAATAAAAACTCTAACCTATGGCCTTTTTAAATTTGACCAAAATGTAGAGCTTTGTTTTTCTCAATGTCTGTAACTGTAATGGCAAAAATGTGTAGATGAAATTTTAGTATGTTTATTATTTTCTTAAATGGGACCATGCAATTTAGAATTTTGTTGGACCTAAAAAATGCTGGTATCCACTTATCCAACAAAGTTATGTTTGTAGCATTGCACTAGAACAGAATTTCATTTGTAGCATTTGTACAATAAATTCAAAATTCTTTCAGAATTAAATTTTGTATATATATCATGCCTACTCTACCTGTAGTAGGGCTTTGATCTTACATGGTATGGAAATATCTAAGCACAAAAGTATTGAGATTTTCGTTTCCTCAAGATTGTTTCTACGCGACAATACAAATTAAGAACTTACTATGCTATTAATTTGTCATCAAAGTCTTTTGGTTAAAAGTGATTTTTGAAATATTATTTTTTATAAAACTCAATATGAGTGCCAAGGGTCTTATACAAGCTTCACTTTGGACTATTAATCAGCACACTTATCACACAAACATAGATGCTATAAATATACGGAAAAATTCACGTATATTTGTACAGATAGATAAATGGTATAAACCTGTTATCATTTTTATACATTTTCCCCAAAAATTGATTAGAACCAGAACTATTCCTAAGGCTGTAAACTTTTTTAAAAGGTAGCTAAAGCTCGACTTTCTTTTCATATTATATTTAGTGTCTTTCGCAACTGTTGCCTTGCACAAATTTTTATTTTGTTTTTCCTTGCAAACCTTATAATGTGGAAAATATATGTTTCGAAACTGCATGTTTTTTCTTTATTTTTTCCCATTTGTCTAGGATATAGCGTATTAGCTTCGTTACGTTTTCGAAAAAATTTGCAATACACTTTTTAAAAATCTATTCATTAGATGTAATTCCAATCTTTAAAATGAAAATTAATTACTCGAAAACGCAGGTTATCTATTGTACCAAAAAGCGTAGCAGCAGCGCCCCGCCTGAGGTTTCAGTGACTGGAGCTCCCATACCATGGGGAAATTCTTCTAAGTATCTCGGAGTCACTCTTGACAGGCAGAAGCACACTGAAGAATTAAAAATTAAATTCTTAATTACATTTCGGCAACTCTACCCTATGCTATGTAGAACCTCAAAATTAAGTTTGGTCAACAAAGTTCAGCTATACAAGATGGTTATGGCAAGCAATCACTTACGCATGTGCAGCATGGTGTTTTCTCGCCAGAACGCATATGCGTAATCTGCAGGTTTTGCAGAATAGAACCATCACTAACGCACCATGGTATGTCTCCAACGAGACCCTTCACAGAAACCTCGACATCCCTTACCTAAGGCACTGCGTCAAACAACAGGCGCAGTTACATTATAGTCAAACGGAAACGTACAGCAACCCTTTGTTGTGTAAGTTAGTAGACTACACAGTCGAGCAAGTTCGCAAGCACACAAGACCGCGGCTCGCACTGTGATCAAAATCAAATCGTGCAATTTTAGGTCCAAAAAGTACATTTTTGCCACACATAAAAATTACTAAATTAATTATTGGATCAATTTATTCAAAATAACCGAATACCAGTTAACAATAGCAAGGCACCTCTTTAACTGGCGCACTTCACCCTCTTTGCTCTTCCCCTTCCTTCTTTTCTTTCATTATTCTTCCTTTCTTTCTCCCTGACTTCGTCTGGTATCTGGGCAACCAGATCTGTCATACCTACTGACCTACGATACTTTAACGCCGGCTCCATACGTTGGCCCCAACGCCACTCGCCCAACGTGTGTATCTAGAAAATAGCGTTGGCCCCAACGTTGGAGCGCTAGTTGGCTGTCGATTGTCGGTTTTATCAAAGGAATCTGCGCCAACATTGGCAATCCGTCCACATGTTGGCTCACTGGCTCAGTCTTGTTGTAACACGCGTCGAGTGCGTATGTGGAGATATGTCATCAATTGGTCATCAACAACATCGCTACCCGCGTGGACAGACGAAAAAGTTGTAGAATTTTTAGAGTTATACCAGGCGCATCCAATAATATGGAACGCCTCTCGCAAGGACCATAAAAATAGAAATTTAGTAGCCGATGCATGGCGCAATATTCAACAGAATATGAAAATGATTTATTCTATTGAGGAATTAAAAAAGAAACCGAAATTGCTCTAAGCGCTTTTACAGTACTGATGAGTGCGTATAATTTATATTTGTTATTGAAAAAAAAGAAAAAGCCACGTCAAAGGAGATGGTGGATGACAACGCATCATAAAACTCGGTACCAGTGAGTACAGACCATACACTCCATTCTAGCAGCTTTTTACAAGGCAATTTAATATTAAATTATGTAATAATGTGTATACAGTGTGTCCAAGATAAGGATGTCTATCATGAGGATCTTGGAAAACAAAAGTAATACGAAGATGGTTAAATTTCAAGCCTAACAATATGCCGTTTAGAAAGCTTTAAAATTCCGAGTTGTTCCGGAGGTATGCCGATCCATACAGTTTACAGTTACGGGGTATTCGAAGACCATCGGTATGTTGTTTTTGTTTTCAGTGTAGGAAGCTATTCAAATATCGCTTGAAGCGTCATCTGTTGGGTACACCTTTCAGGATCAATTCAATCTAACTAGAAATGGATAATGATTTTTAAATCAACATGGTATCTTCAGGTGTTAGTCACTAGGTGTCGCTGTAGCTCGTCTCTGCAGCCATCTACTGAGATTACCTGGAACCAACGTGTATGGGTTGCATTGATTTTTTTTTTAGTTATTTATGAGTATAGAGCGGTGTGTTATTTAGATATCTAGGGCGTAAAGTGCGTGTTACTGCCGAGATGCAAAATAAAGGGTTTCTGCGATCACAAATACCGTATACCTACACGTTAACGTCATATAAATCCTTGACTTAAATGTAAAAAAAAAGAAAAACGTTCACGTCTTTTCGTCTATGTATCTGATAATGGTTTTATTGCCAAAACTCTAATCACCCGAAAAGTGGGTCTCGACCATTTAACTTGCGGATTTCGTATTCATTAGCTATACATTTATCTACGACCGGGCAAAAAGTGTTTTTATTACATTTTTCGGGCGTTAAGTCTGAATTTTCAACCCAATAACTCTTTTACGTCCTCGGGCGGCAAAATATGAATTAGTATATGATAAACACAACATAACGGCTTCAAAGCTAACAAAATCAAACGCATGGCTCTTCTTAATGTAAACATTACAAAAGATAAATAATTATACATCGTCAATCAAATTTGAAAATAATATTACTGCTGTTAGAATTTGCTTTATGCTGGACAAATATAACAAATTGATAATTATCTTATTATTATAAATGTTTTGCAATAATTGCAGTTTATAAACCATATAAATTCTATAAATGAGGAGCAGACTTTCAAATCGCACTTTGTCCATTTTGGACATTTTTCAGGGAATAAGAAGAAATGCTACACTGTTATTAATAAAGTTTAAAAAAAACACAAGATATGAAGAAATGTACTTTTTCTATCATTTTGTCCTAGTTATAAGTTAACAACAGACCTTATTAGTCTTCGAAAAAAATAATTTTTTTTATGGACAAAACGCTATTTGTTTGTCTTTCAATGACAAAATGTAGTTTGATTGTCTCTAAATGACTAAAATAAAAATATAAACTGAAAATGTATTTCTGCGTATTCAAAAACACTAAATTAAATAATTAAAAAATCATATGACATTTATGCGCATTTTTGTTCTGGTTTTCGTCATTGTAGAATTTCTGTCTAATGATTTTTATGTCGGGCAACAAAAGTTTCATACGTTTGAATTTTTTTCATTTATGGACGAAGTTATTTTTAAAATTCAGTAAATCTGGGTATAAATTTGAATATCTGAAACGAAAAAAATTAAGCAACAAAAATACAACATAACCGGCAATATCTCAATGTACCTTATTTTTCTCTTAAATTCTTTTGAGGTAGTATTTATTTTTCTTTTTCTCGTTCCTCTATTTGTATCTCCCACTATCTGCTCACCTTCAATCATTTTTCAATTTTCTTGTTAAATTGCTCTAATAAACACTACTTTTTATGCACTACTAATAGCACAACAACAACAATTGTTGATTGCTACACTGCTTAAAAGTAAATAATAAAGAGGTTACATGGTAAAAAAGAATTACAAGACAACCGAATCGCATTTTTGTCCAAAATAGCGCTATCTGTTTGTCTCTCGCAAATGGATAAAATGCTTTTTGCTTGTCTAGGGGTTTTTTCAAGGTAAAAATATACGTAAAATATTTCGATTGGAATGTTTAGGAGTACGTAAATTAATAAATGATGTTTTCAAGAATGCAACGCCATCTATAAGTCAAAATGTGAAAATTTGGACAAAGTGCGATTTGAACGTCTGCTCCTCAAATGAAGTCTTATCACATTATTCCCTATTATTTATTCATCATCCTCACTGTCAATTTTCTTAACCAGGCATAAGTAAATATACTCAACACTCTGTACAGAACATTCTTAGATTCTCTAAAATACCTAATAAATTTCAATACCATGTCTCTTCTGGCTGCATATGTGAGCGTCTTGACCAGTTTTTGGGCTCCCAGAAAAACAGCCGTCGAATAATTCGCGAAATTTTGTCAACATTTTCGCTTTCCGGTACAAAATGCGTGATGGGCTCGAGATGTCGCTTTTAAACAGAAATGGTGTTGATTTTGGTAAAATGTTCGATGGCGATTTTTGATTTTTCTATGATTGTCCTTCTTTTTTGTGTATATTTTCGTCTTGTTTTGTTAATGTACTTCTTCGTGAATGGATTCGCTGACTGATTGCGTGCTCTAGGTTTCCAATTTTGCTCAACTGTTTTTCCAGTGGCATGATTGGCTAGGCCAACCAGGGTTAAGTGGAACAATAGCCGAGGGCTAAACTTCGCCCTAAATAAAGGCCAGTTATTATTATCATTGTTATTATTATTATTATTATTATTATTATATAAGTTTATTTGGTCGAATCTTTTCGGCAAACTTAAAAAGCTTTATAGCCTTTTTCTGGGTTTTTTTGGGTGTGGATGAAAAACACTCGATTCTAATTTATTTAACTTGACTAGATAGAACATTTATCTACACCACTATTTATGTCTGACTACTTATTATGTCGCCCCATTCACTGTACTATACTATACTCTGCTCTACCCTACTTCCATCTCCCGGCCCTCCATATGTAGAGATCTAGAAGGCGAGTCACTGGCACGGGCCTCAACAGATGTCGCCACCGAAGGAGAGTTTCTGGCACAGTCCCCAACAGAGATCGGCCATGAAGCTCTTGAGAGTAGGAGAGTCTGGCGCTGTCCCCAACAGATGGCGCCAACAGTACTATGCATTCTTGTTATTCTACCCTTTATGAAATGTAACCTCGGAAACATGTGTCTTGTGCCGCCTTTTTATGAAACTTTATTTGTTTTTTACAATGCAATCGCCTTATTTTATTTAACTCCTACGAAATCTCCTAAATTTTACACAAAAGGGTTCTAACTATACAAATTCTAAAGTTCAATCTGATTCTCAGGCCCCCCTGGCACCTCCCTGCGGACGTCCATGGAGTTAACCTACTTGACGAAATTTTTCCTGGCTATGCTTATCTTGAGGCGCAAGGTTGAGGCAAAGGGTGTCCACCCTCTTATAGAAATGCGGCAACGCCGCACTTGCATCTTGCATCGGTATCGGCGGGCGCGTATGCGCGGTGTTGCCCGTCTAATGCTGTGTCAACCTGTCAGTCCAACGGTAAACAGCGGCTTGCACGACTACGATCTACGAGTGC